AATTTATTCATTTTTTATTTTATTTTAAAACCCGTATGGTTTTATGAACCGGTGTCTCCCCAGTAAATTCAATGGGGGGCGGGGGGGAGAAAGAGAGGAAAAAAAGTAGAGGAACTCTTAATCCTCCATACAACCTAATCCATCTGCTGAAGGCCTTGCTGGAAATGTACAGAAAAACTCAAACTGTCTTAGAACTACAAGTGGTCAAAACTTCCATGGGATTTGTACTCAGTTTTCCCACTGCATTTAAAAAATAATAAGTTATAGGGTTATATGTCAATTGTAACTTAATAAAGCTGGGGGGAAAGTACAGGTTATTCGAATTTCTTTTTGTGCCGCTGCTTCAATAGGATGGGGTTAGTGTAAATTTTGATTCCAAATCTCCAGATGTTTCTATGACTATATGTCTTCTTTATCACTGCATCCTAAACACCTGGCATAATCTAGCATACAGCAGCTGCTCAACGCATCTATGTGGAACGAATGGATGAACTCAAATTCTATCCGACACTGGAGTCACGCTGTGGATGGCTTATGCTCACCTCTGTTTCCTGCAGGCGGTGTCCGATGAGGCTGAGGGACTCTCCCAGCAGCTGTAGATGAGCAGCAACATCAATGGGCTCTGTCTCAGGGGCTTTGGCTGGGGAGGCTGGTAATAGCATGGTGGTGGGCGGGGACTTCTTTTGGGGTGACAGCACTCCTGCAGAGGAAGCTGAGAACAGAGATGAAATAGAGAGACCAAGCTTCCTATGGCCTTGAACACCACAAAAAATGCCCTTCCTGATTTTCCCTGTTTGGGAGCTATGCCAGGTATTAGCACAACTATGGACTGTGGGCCTAATCTGGCCCGTGACCTGTTTTTGTATGGTCTCGAGGTAAGAATAATTTTATATTTTTAAACGGTTGTAGATAAAACCAAGAATATGTCACAGAAAAAGCACTTGGGCCTGCAAGGCCTGAAATATTTTCTCTCTGGCCCTTTACCAAAAAAGTATGCTGACTTCTGAGTTATGCTTTCTAAATGCCTTTTCAACCTATAATGTTCAGTAATAATACCTGGGTATCAAGCTCTGCTTCTAATGTAGGCTGCTCTCCCAATTTCTCAGAGAGGCAGAATTTACAGTGCTCCGGGGAAAGCAAAGCAGGAGAGGGATGTGGCCACTACCTTTTACTTTCATGGAGCCTTCTGAGCCGGATGCTTTTCTTTTCACAGTTGTAGCTTCTGCTTTGTTTTGTTTGTGTTGCAGATACTGAGCTTTTTGCTTCCAAATCTGCAATCAGATCCGGGCAAAATAAAATGAATCAAAAAGTAAAAGTAAAAGGGAAAGCAGTCATGGAAGAGTAAAATAAAGAAACGAGAGGGGACAGTGCAGAGGGTTGCTGCTAACTCTCAAGCGGAGGGCCATTGGGCAGGCATAGACACTGATCGCTGTCCGAACTTAGAGCACTGCAAACATTCCTCAACGCTAATGGTCAGATCTCAGCATTGATTTCAGATCTCTAAGATCACAATGTAAAATCATGGAGTAAACATCTGGCTCGGTGTAATGTCCATGTGGTTTAAATATTTCTTCTAACTTGCTAGTTGGCAATACCAATAGTAGGCTAACATTTGATGTGAAAAATAGAAACTAAAGATAAGCTACCTAGGTCAGAAATATTTTGGTTGTTTTATCCAGATGAGCTATACCTTAAAGCAAGATGGTAATTCTAATTCCTAGACTGCCTTCCTATCAGCCTACTGGAAAGTGACTATGACTCAGTCATGACTAGTTATCACAGTCTCATTAGCTTCTTCACAGTACAGGACATTATCTGGTAGTGGGTGATGAGGATGATGGCCTGGAACCTGGCTCCCTTGTAAACACAGTCCCATAGTTTTATTATTTGCAGTGACTATTAAGTGGATGCCTTTCCTCACTTCTCAGACCATGGGCTGACTAGTAGGTGTTTGTAGTAAAGGGATTTTTTCTTTTAACAGTTTAATCACTGTCCAAGTTAAGTCATCTTTTGGCTCAAATGTAAGACTGTTGCAAAAAAAAAAAAAATTAGAAGAGGTTAGAAAAAACAGCCTCCGTGCAACTAAATTTTACCCAGAGTACACTGGCACCAACCAGAGTTAATGCCCTTTACTAAGCCATTTTCCATCGACTTGTCATTGTTTCACTATTTCAGTGTTCTTTGCCTGGGTGGTCTATGGGAGAATCATACATTTTAGAAGGCATCAAGCAATTAAAAAAAATATGTTTGTAAAAAAGTGTACTTACCAGTTTATCCTTTTCTGGCAATTGCTTCCACACCTCAGCCAGTTTTTTGCTAAGTTCCCCAAAATCTGGCAAAAAATAGTAAAAAGCTCAATAAAATAAAGGTTTAACTATCAACAAAACAGAAGATTGATGAGAGCAAAAACTGGGAAAAGTTTCTGAAAATCAGATCCAAATAGCACAATATTCTTTCAGAAAACCAAACCAACCCAAACCAAACCCCACCAGTTTTCTTTTTTAAAATATATTTTTGTTGATTTCAGAGAGGAAGGGAGAGAGATAAATATCAATGATGAGAGAGAATCATTGATCACTGCCTCCCACACGCCCCACAACTGGGGATCGAGCCCGCAACCTGGGCATGCGCTCTTGACCAGAATCGAACCAGGGACCCTTCAGTCTGCAGACCGATGCTCTATCCACTGAGCCAAACCAACTAGGGCCCACCAGTTTTCTTGATTCTTTGTTATAGGGAAGGGACCCCTATGGTGGTCATGAGGTGGACTCAAATCCTCTCGCATCTCCTCTCTAGGGATTTGTTCATTAAGCATCTTTCCAGTGTCTCTGAATTCGATCCCACAATCCAGGGCTTATCAACTTAGGTTAAAGAAAATATGTGCTGTAGAGGTTGAGGAAGGATGTTAGATTTTTCCTGCATTTCTGAGAGCTCGGTACCAAGAAGAATTTCCCTGCGGCTGCTGAGAAGCATCCTCCAGAGGCATGTGCTGCCCTTGCACGTGCCCGGCAAGGTCAGGCTTTGCACAGCGGGTTCTTATCTGCTATGGTCCTTCACATGTGCCTCCCAGCACCGTGATGAGAAATTCGGGAAACTATTTACATCTTAGGCAAATCAGATTTATGGAGGTTAAGTGCCTGTCCAAGGTCTGTGGTGCAGTGTTTCTCTCACCTCACTAACTTCTAATACACAGACAAATGTGACAGTGTAAGTCATCTCACAACTGCACACCCAAGGGCAGTTTAAGGAAAAGGTCAACTGTAGAATCTTGGAAATAAGCAGCTGCATATTTATATGCTGAGCTTCATAATATTTAATTTTACTGCTTTCCATCTTATGAACTTAAAAGATATAAATGAAAAGCTTATCACTTTTATGGTCGGGGTGAACTAAGACAAAACCTAGAGTGACGTGCAGATCTGCGGGAAAAATGAGATTTGGGTTCAATACCAGGGGAGAAGCTGCCTCCTGACTGAATTAACTGCCCTGCTTCCGAGGCGCACGTGGAAAGTGGAAACGAAGATGAGCAATGTTCTTACCTATGCCAGGATGGTCAGCCACGATGGTCACGCGGTACTCCTTACAGAACACCTGGTAGGCCGACATGTTCTTCTTTTTTGGCTGGAGCCACATGAGAACAGAACAGGGTTGATCAGAACACAAGTAACTGAATCTAACACCCTTTTCCATCCAGGAAAGCATTCTAAACTACTAACCAGCTTTCCCAGAGAGGATCATTAACTTAATCCCTGCTTCTTATCACACAGAGATGACTATCAGTATTGCTTAGGAGGTAAAAGCACATGCTAACTCTTTTTTAGATGTTTCAGACTGCTGCAGCTGCGCGGTAATTACTTGTAAAGCCCCCAGCCTTCCTGTGTACAATCTCACATTATGTATTCTTTCAAAACTGAGTGCTGAACAAATTCTTTACCTCTTCCGGGATGTCACTTTTCTCATCTTTGAAATAACAACCACATAATTTCCTTTTAAACTGTGAGAGCCAAGAGCCAAATCTATGTTCTTTTGTTCCTCTGCATTTGATTTCTAATCTTATAATTTTCCTGATCCTGCTTTTACTGTCACTTGTAGTCTATCATTATGTCATTGTTCACATTCTTTTGGTTCAGGTGAGGTAAATAAATAACAAGAGAATTCTTTGGTAGTCAAGGTAGGATGAACCTCTTTCGCTCCAACAAACTACTTTGTACTACCTGAAGTATGTTTGCTCTTCACTGGATTATGACAATTCCAAGAGCAAAGCATGGTTTTTGAGAAACAGCCAGTTCAATGAGGGATATTTAAAACAAAAGATGACATATTCCTATGCATTCCATTTTACAACTATCCATAGACGGAGGGGAAAAAAGTTAAGTTTCCCTACCTGAAAAGATTCATTAGGTAGCACCTGTCTAAACCTTTCATTTGAGGACAAGAAAAGGGAAACTCAGAAAGTAGTAATTTGCGTGTAGTTATGACTACAACTAAACTAAGCGATAACACCAGAATTGAGTACCACCTAGGTAGCCTGGCCTATGCATTTTGGGGCAGTGAAAGAAAGAAAGTTGCTTCCTTACAGAAGTAGTTACTATTTAAAAAGAAAAGATTATCCCTTTATAATCTTTATTCAATAAACTGAGATGGGTTTAGCATGCTTTCCTTTAAAACTTCGTCTGTAAGCATCGAGTTATGTGGATCAGTCCTCCATCTGCTCCCAACACAGTCCTTCCTGGTCCTGCAGTTATTATGACGAAGGTTTGGTGCTTGAAAAGTTACTGGGAACTTTTGTTTGTCTTAAGTGTCCGATTTTATGATAAAAGCAAACCAACAAACAACACAGTCCTGTTTCTTGACTTCAGAGTTGCGTATTGTTTTAACCTGAGAGTACACTTTATTCACCTTACTTCTTAATGTTGTTTCCATAAAATAATTACCCTCAAAGGCCAAAGACTGGCAGAGACTGATGACAATAAAAAGCTTATGTGATGGCTCTGATTTTAATTCCAAAAGGAATTCTAATTTTTGATGGGTGACAAATGGGAGGGGATTGGAGGATAGGTGAAAAAAGGGAAGGGATTAAGAAGCACAAATTGCTAGTTATAAGAACAGTCATGGATATAAAATACATATAGCATCCTATCTAATAAAAGAGAAACATGGTAATTGGTGTACAACCGCTACCCTTCCCATTGGCTAATCAGGGCAATATGCAAATTAACTGCCAACCAAGATGGCGGCCAGCAGCCAGGCAGCTTGAAACTAACATGAGGCTTGCTTGCTTCAGTGATGGAGGACTCCAATGTTCCCCACCTGCCACGCTGCTACAGGCCTCTGAGCTGCAGTTTGAAACATTGTAAGCAAATATAGAAGCTAAAAAAAAACCCA